TTTCTACTTTTCAGAAGGATTTTGTACTGATTCCCATAGCATTTTATTAATAAGATTTTGGCACTTAAAATTTAAACATTTTAAGTGACTATTTTATAATAAGGCAGTCAAAGTAGGCAGATGGGAATTTAAGCAAGTTCTTAAGAGTCACATAGTGGCAGAGAGAGGAAAATGACTTAGAAGTGTTAAAACAAAAGTAGAAACTGAAAACGTTGAACTCTCAATATGTTGCTTTTCAGTGGTGTGATTTATATTTGTTGAAGACAAGCATGAATTTTATTAAATACTTGGAGCCTAGAAGATAGGACCAAAATGAAATTGATTTATAAGAATGGAAGATAGAAACAACCACAAACCTTGTTGTATAACCATAATATGTAGTGTATTTGTGTTTAGATAAATACCAGTTAAAACTACTTCCAAATCCATATAAAATGGCACTTTATTGAAAAATAGTTTTATAAGAAAAACCATATTTTTCCTAGTGTCAAATGTTCACAAATTATTTTGACCTAAAACACAGCTTTATCGGAATACTTTAGAATTTTCAATGAATTAATATTTTGGAAAAAAAAACTTTTTGAAAGCAATATTTAGAATGAAATGTGTGCCCAGGGGTGGGACAGGAAGCAGTACTAGGTACTAGCAGCTCACCTTGTGGTGTTAATTCACTGCTCTTACCCAAAAGCTCCACAATCAGCTGGGCTCTTGGGCCCACATGGAGCTGATATGCTGCCTTATTTGAATCAATTTTGAAACCAATAAAACAAAAAGCATCCAGATTAGAAGTTTAATTTCAGAAAGTACAACCATACCATTAAAATCTTAATTATGGCATATAATTTGGCATATAATTAGGCATGATCTAAAGTATATAATAATTTGGCTGAACAAAAGGCTTTCCAAAATACTGTTTATAATTGATTCTACATGTAATAATTTCCTCGGGAATTGAATATTTCATTAATTCACAAATGACTATTCAGTATGTTCAGTAGTGCTTGCTTCTCAGCTCTTGACTGATGGGTAGAATTACTTTTTAACTATTTGTAATGTGTTCTTTCTTTTTTTTTTTTTGTGCATGGCATTCTGGTTCATATTTCCTACTTTCTTCCATTAAGTGGGATATAATGGTATTTATTTACAATGAGTAAATCCAGAACAATCTATTTTATTTTGGTGAAACAGCATCTTTGTTATAATTCAGAGCATACTATTTATTGTTTCTTTTGTTTCAGTAAGAATAATTGTGAGCATTTCTTAAGCATATTATGGCTAGAAAGAAACTTTGATGCCATACCACTGTCACAGAGCCTTGAAATCATGTTGTACCTATCATCATTATGTTTTCATCACAATTAAACAAAATAATCTTTTTAAGAGCTCTAAAATATATGAACTAGGGCTGGAGATGTGGCTCAAGTGGTAGCGCGCTCACCTAGCGTGCGTGAGGCACTGGGTTCGATTCTCAGCACCACATAAATGTGAAATAAAGATACTGTGTCTACCTAAAACTAAAGAAATAAATATTTTTAAAAAATAAAATAAAATATATGAACTAGAAAATATAAATCTCTTCCATTGAATAGGTCAACTGAACCCAGTGCATAATTAGCATGCTGTCAAATTTCAGAAGGCATGCCGACATTTTCTGTGACTTCCTTTGTTTATGTTACTTCTATAGTTTCCCCAAAGGTGAGCAAATCCTACTATTTTAATTCCTTGCACAAAAGTGGACAAGATGACTTGATACTGATGTCCACTATGGTTTAGGTCTTAGATGATGTTCTATTCATTACATGGTAGGACCGGTGTGGGCAGGATACATGGATGTGCATCAGAGTAGGGAGCTGGATTCACCAGGCCAGAACCTTTCAGTGAACTAACCCTGTTCATTACGTATTTTAGATGTCGTGTTTTCAGTCTACTCTACCTAAAGTGCACTACCATCTAAGAAGATGAGCAGTGAAACCTCTGTGAAGACCGAATTCGAAGGAAATAATGACAAGTAGTGATTTATTAAAAATAAAATGTGATTCCGGGGGTCATCAGATATCAAATTTGATTAGTTTACTACAATTGTAATAAAATGCTTAAGTCATTTGAATAAGAAGCATCATCTACGTCATAAATTCTGTACAACAGATGCTTTTATGAAATGGAGCCACTTGTTTTTCATGTTGTAATATACTAGGCATTTATGTATTACTGTGTATTTCTTTTTAAATGTGTAAGTCTTATGTAAATGGATATAAATATGATTTTTTAAAAAATAAAATATATGGTTCATGGAGTCTTGAGTGCAAACATTTGACAATTCTAAGTACTGTTTGTATTTTACCATTTCACCATTTTTACAGTTTTTGAATTGTAACAGTCAAATCAATATGTTTCCTAGAAGCATGTTTCATGCTTCAACATGTTTCTCCTTCAAGTCTGTTAATCCTTAAAGCTGAATACCTGCCTCTGATCATGTAAAAAAGAATGATTTAACCTGGAACTGGAGCCAAAAAATGACCTTTAAAGGCAATCAGGGATGTCCTTATCTCTAGAAATAGCACTGTGATGGCTTGATCTCCTTTTCAATACAAAACAAAGCCAAACTGTTTACAAGAGTCAAAAGCAATTATTTAAACAAATTTATATTAAAAAAATCTTCTCTTGTTACCTGTGGACCAAGAAAAAACAAAACAACAAAAAAAATAAAACACTCTTTCCTAATAAACACATGTTCATTCAAATCCCTTGAACCGTCAGCCCACACTGGACAGTGAATGTCAACCACAGCAGAGACTGAGGCTCATTTCCACTGGAAAAACAGAACCCAGATACCCTTCATTTTTGTCAATGGAACAGAGCATTTGCCAGACTCATGACTAATGTTATAAGCTTTTAGCCAACATGGCCTTGTTGCGACTTCCCTGAAGTCAGTTTTATCAGAGGAAATAAACAAAAGGCAGAATGGTTACATATATAGTGTATAAAAAGTATAGAGGAGTAATCTCTTCCCTGTGGCTTTATTTGGTGGTGTTATTGCTGTTTATTCTTTGTTTATATGGAAGATTTCAAAGTAAAATCTATTTAATAATACCATTTATCTAATTGCTGATTTTCTGCTGCTTGATCTTATTAAGCGCAAGACCTGTCATTAGTAATTTCTTTTTGTACTTTCATTTGCTGTTTGCACGTACATTACATTTGTTTTGATGTCTATTTTTGTTTAACAGATACAGTCAAAAGGTAATGGTAACAGAAACCCTCTCCATTGTCAATAAAAAAAAATACTTCCAGTTCTCTGTTTAAGCTTTATTTTCTAGTAACATAAAACTTGACAATTTATTTGAATGATAATGGATATTACTCTTTCAGTTACTCTCAAATATTTAACTTCAAAAGTAAGTCCGCCACTAGAGGGAGTACTAAACTAGCTTATGGACATGATTTTAAATTTTCTTAAAATGCTGGTTGAGCAAAAACAAAGTAAAATATCTAAACTCATCTAAAAATGGGGAACTTGATTCATAAAAATGAAATGTGATATAGATGCTATGATATTAAAACATTAGGTATAGATTTGCATTTACTCTGATACACCATTGTGATAGGTTTAACTCTAAAGAAATACCTGCAAAATGCATTTATAAAGGGAAAAATTTTATTTCAGTTCACAGTTTTGGAGGCTCCCGTCCAAGATTTGGCAGAGCCATTGCTTTGGGCCTCTGGTGGGTATGCCGATGGCACCTGTTGGTGTATGTGGAAGAACAAACAGCTCACCTCAAGGTCAGGAAGCAAATGAGAGAGGGGGAAAGGGTTGGGTCCCTGCAGCCCTCTTTGTGGTTATGCTTCCCACCCATGACCTAAGGACCTCACACAAAGCTCCTCCTCCCAAAGGTGCACACCAATTTCCAAGATACCACCCTGGGGACCACGCCTTTAACACACAAGTCTTTGGGGGACACTCAGTATCCAAATTGGAAAAACTAGTCAGTTTCTTCTTTTTAGAGATCAGGTAAGATATATCAGTCATTTATAAGGAACCCTAACATATATTGATGCCAAATCCAGCTATTTCTCTCAAAAAAAAAAGTATAAAATAAGCTGCAATTTATAAGACATTTTCTGCCAGATTCTAAAACCATGTAAAGGATCGACCTTGGAAATTCGGTGTTTTTTGTGACAACAAACATTGTGAATTCCAACATTTCAAATGATCAAATCAGAACCTTTCAAATACAATTTGATATTAACAAAACTTCTTTTTAAAAGGTAAGGCAGGTCTCATTTGGTTACATTTAATATATTTTCATGAGAAAAATAATTAAGTGTAAAACATTTTTCTATAGATTTCGAAAAATTTATTTTGATTTTTTCAATTTCTTATAGTATAAAGTGTCAGGAAAAGACCAAAAGTAGATCATACAGAATTTATTTTACCAAATATAAGTATGATTGCATTTTTTTAGTAACATTAAGTTAGTGTTTTTCAAAGTACATTTAATTCAAAATATTTTAGGTTCTATATAGTAAAAGAGTTTTGTGGTCAAGTATTAAACTAGAAAATTCCTTTATTTTTCTACCAAATTATAAGAAGTCTGATGACTTGAAAATACCTTTATTGACCAATTTTTAATCACATGAATTTAATGGCACTTTCTCTGACCCTGCAAATGGGATAAATTTTCTCAATGAGAAATAACTACTTCCTTTGGTCTTACGCACTGTTTTTCATACCCATTTAACTGGAAAATAAACCAAGTTTTCTTGCTGAAATGTCCCTTCACATTTAGTTGCCAGGAAAACAAGAAAAAAAAAAAAAGTAAACTTTACACAATTCTTAGACCTGGACCTGCCAGACTTTGTAACTTTCTAATGAACAATAATACACCGTCAGTTAAAGAATTTGCTATTTCAAGTTAACTGACTCATGTGAAAAAAAATAAGGAAATACATTTTAATGCTGATATTAAAAATAGTTTATTTATAAGTACTACAGTTGTGATAATTGATAAAATGCATCCAGTAGAAAAGATATTTCAAAGAATTCAGCAACTTCAAGTTATTAAATGTCTATATAGTTAGTTTAATCCTGGATACTAAAGTAATTAAAGTCAAATATATTTTTCAGGACTAACAATCAAGAAGGGAGTTGAAGCAAATAGGAATTTCCTTGAAGAAGCCATTTATTTTGTAACATACAGTCCAAAAGGAGCTAACATTTTTCAGAATGTTTTTATATAAGTTGTAAATAATCTTTACAACAAAAACAATAAACCTTCATCTATTATATCTCACATATATTTCATTCACCTGGATTATTATGTTAGAAAGATCTGCTCTTAATAATAATGTTTACAAAGGACTGAAAAACTGAGAAATACTTTGAGAAACTTCCAAGATTCACTGGGCATGGTACATGTTTTGTGATTAAATGTATAACTGATGCATGTAGAACCCTAAGTAAACAAAATAGCTAATCATCTATTTTTATCTATTCAAGTTGATTGGTATATTACTGTAAACTTACTAAAGACTCCTTTTCAAATTCTTTTTAAAAGGATTAACAATTTTATAGAAGTCTAAAAGGAGAGATGTGTTTGGGCATAATAATTTTCAAATGAATTATTTATTTAAAAATTAGAATTTTCACATGAAACAATGGGTTTTTGATTTCTTTTAAAAATCGGAGGCTCTTACAGTAGGGGATCCTTTTCCCTCCTGGGCCATATTCTGCTGGGACTGGGTAGAGGCTGTTCCCTTGATGGAACAGGTGCTCTCCAGTCTCCACCAAGCCTTATTTTCCTGAAACTTGAGATAAATGGCTCAAACTCACATGAAAAGATCATTGATGTTATAGTAACTCCTTGAAAAGTCCCTTGATCTTTAACTTAATGAAAAAGCTTTTGGAATTCTTCTTTAAGAGTTTTCCTTGCCATTCTACTCCACTTGTATATCATTTCCTTGATTCTATAGGAAATTGGAGTCATTAAAAAGTACACAGTCAAGTAAGCACCTGAGACATGAGTGAGACTTCTCAGGAGGCCTCATCTCCATGATGAGAAGATGGGATGGAATGACTCTAGGTTCTCTGCCAGACCTGTGACTTCTCTTGCCGAAGTGACAGATGAGCTGAAGGCAGGGCTATATCCCTGGCCACCCGCCTTCCCTCCAGACTCATGTGGCTAGACAGGTCCTCCTACCTAGATAAAATTTGTCCATCTGGATGACTACCTAAAATTCCCCGTTCATCTTATTTCATTTAACACAATGTGAGTATCTGAAGAATATTAGGGCATACTCAAAATTTCTATAAGAAAAAAATTATTTTCTGACCTTGACTTGAATATTTGAATGTAGATCAAAGCTGTGGATTTTTAACTTCAGGAATCATCTATATGAGAGGAATTTTCAGTTCATGTGTTCTGGGGGAGTACAATTTTTAAAAAATCATACAATACATAGATTTTTCTAAAAGTGCTAGACAGCATATGATGAGCCATTTTACAGGCAACTGACAATGATATCAATTGTGTCAAATCAAACAGAAGGTACAGATCCTTTCACTCGTCTTCCTTAGACCACTTTAGACCAAGCTTTACAATTCACATTTCAACTGGCAAGTAATTTCTATTTAAATATTCATTTCTGGAAAACAGCTCAAATAATACCAACTAGACTATTAACTCAAAGTTGGAAAACAAAAAATGTCATGCTGCCTGCTTTAGCACTTCTTCTATGTGCCCAAAAATGCTGGGGTCTTCGATTGTAGGAGTTACCTAGAAAGAAATTCAGTGTCAGAGAAATGCTCTTCCTTGAACCCTTTTAATGATCTTTATAATGAAAGCAATTATATGCAGTGTTGTATTTCTATATCATCTTAAATTATAATACTTCTGTTAAAAATATACAAATGAGAAACTTTGAACTTGATATTTAAAAATGTATGTATAGTCTTTCAGAGTAACAAAATAAATGGTTTAATTAGCAAAACTATTGGTCCTAGGATGGTACTTTCTCTGGAGTTCCTTTTCAGAACCTTTCTGTATATTTCCATAGGGAGTTTTATTTTTTTTTTATTTTTGACATTTATTCATGCAAGTACACCTTACTGCTGCATTGGCTTTAATTAGATATTATTGATAAAAATATGTGTACTTGTGCACAAATAATGTGCATACAAATTTAAAGACTATATCAGTCTAAAGTTTCCTAAAATAATTTTCCCTTCAAATAGAAGACATAATTAGGACATACATCAATTAGAAAGGTTTTTTTTCATTTTAATTGACTTTAATGATTATTGCTCATCTGCAAGGATTAATATTGCATTAATTAAAAATTATTCAAAATGAACTTTTTCCTCCCAAGTTGCTCTCCACATGCTCCCTCTGATGCCAGACATTTTCCACAGTGTACTTTGTTACGTGGCTTGACAGAGACGGAGCCCTTACCTATTATTCCTATGGACACAGTAATAGCTATGGGATCAGAGGGCCAACCAATTAAAAAGTTTTAAGCATCTCTTACCAACCTCAAATATTTTGCTTTCTCATTCACTAATAACCATTAATGGATAGAATGAAGGAAAATGTACATTAAATTCAACATGATCCAGTTTCTACAAGTATGTTTTAATTTAACTAACATAATAACTGATAGAAAAATATTTTCACATGGATTCCTGTAATCAAAGCATATGATTTTAATTAATCTACCTTTCTTACTCAAACCCTCATTCCTACAGAGAGGAAATATGCGGTTTCCCTTTTAATATATTTTTAAAAGTCAGTCTAGTATGTTTTCTATGGATACAATTCATGCCGGAGAACATTTTTAAAGAGTTTTGCTGATGCCAAAGAAATGGTGAAAAACATTTCAGAGCTCAGACTTAAACATCCTTGGTCATTTACCTTATAAGGCTTGCCATTGACGAGGGCGGATAGAGTAGATCTCGGAATTTTTCCAGATCTGGTTTTAGGTAACTGTTTGACAAACACTGCATTTCGAAAAGCAGCCACAGGGCCAATGCTCTGTCTAACATGTTTCACAATTTCTTCCAGAACTTGTTCCTCTGTTGCATTTATGTCTAGGGAGGAGTTTGAGATAGTAAACACAGAATTAACCTGAGTTTATCATTCAGGCCCAAACAACCAGGAAGGACAAAGGTGCCTCACCTTTCTTCAACACACAGAGTGCAAAGGGGACATGACCTTTCAGAGGGTCTTCCTTGCCAACCACAGCACAGTCTGCCACAGTACCATGGGAAAGAACAGACTGCAATGACAAAAGGTAATCTCAGAATATATATATATATATGCATATATATGTATACATAATTTTAACATAGGAAAAAAAAGTAAATGTCAGAGAACCCCCAAATCCATAGCTGACTGCTGAAAATCTACTGCAAAGTCACATCATTATTACTGAGGTAAATGGTTAGGAACCCCATGGTAGTTACTAAGGCTGACAGTAATTAAAATAAATTGCTTAGCTTACCTGGAAAGGAAGGGAATTGTTTCTTCATCTTAATTTTTTATTAATGAGGTCAGAGAAAATTTGCCTTGGAAACCACACGTCAACAAAGTACAACAGGCCTCCTCAAACAGGGGTCCTCACGGTGATTTGATGTTGACGTGGCTACCAAAGGACAACTTTTAAAGGAATCCAGGTCAAACAAGGAATTCAGTGTACAATGACCAGAACATTCTATTCCCCAAGTGGCCACTCAATAAGAAAGGATTTTTCCAGGATTTGAAAGAAGAGGCTGGACATGAAAGATGTCCCCACACCAGATAATCATCACCAATGAGAAGCCATGTGGCTTACCCTCAGCTCTCAAGGCCTTACTCAGCACAGTCACTATCAAGAATCCTAGGAATCCAGAGATAACCACATGAAATACAGATGCTTAAGGTCAGAAAAATTCTGCTGTCATGGGATTTTTAAAATGCATATTCAAAAAATCCTCTTCTGAGGGATTAATTTATATTGCAGTGGTTTCAAATGTCTAATGGCTAGAGAGAACGGCAAACAAACTTGATTCCAGCAGTTCACTAGGGCAGTATTTCTTCTTTCTTCTATTTATTCTTTAAACAAATATTTCCTGAATGTCCCTGGTGTTGTAGAACTAGTGCACTAGGTTCAGTAGAGAGAAAGAATAGACAAAGTATCCTTCATGGTACTTAAGTCTTGTAGGGAAGATGATATTAATACACACTCATGAATATTTATCTTTCATGAAGGTTTAAATATAAAGTGGTGAATTGAGCTGCTATACACTGATGTGGCTGTGTCACTAGTAAGCCGATTTTAACTCCTTTGGATATATACTGAGGAGTGGTATAACTGGGTCAAAGGGTGGTTCTATTCCTAGTTTTGTGTGGAATCGCCATACTTCTTTCCAGAGTGGTTGCACCTACTGGCAGTCCCACTAGCAATGTATGAGTGTACCTTTGTCTCCCACATCCTTGCAAACATTTATTGTTACTTGTATTCTTTGTAAATGATTTGTTTATAAAAATAAAGTCCCTCTGTATAATCCAAATATATATACACATTATATATACTTATATAATGTATATATATATACGTATGTGTATAAATAGAGAGAAAGAGAGAAGTGGGGGGAGAGAGTGTGTATGTAAGGGTTCTAGGGAAGTAATTTAGGTTTTATGTGTGAAATATAGCAAAATCAGTGAACTTCACACAGGCTGTTGACCTCAAAGAAGTCTTCCATTAGGAAATGACAATGAGCAGATATTGATTAGGCAAGGGGGGGGGGTTAAAGAGGCAAGACCCAAAATTACACTTGTCTCCTTCAGACCTGAGGGAGACTGGCCTGGCTGGAAGGCAGAATGAGAATGGTACACGAGGAGATGGGGCTGCAGAGGTGGGTGGGAGCCATGCCAAGGACTTGGTCCAACCATTCATTGCTTCAGCAACACTGGGAGGTGGGCAATAAAGCACTTCTAGGAGTTGAGGAAAAGATGCAAGATCAGAATGAATTTTATAAATACACTTTATTTGTTTAGAGTATTTTTAGATTTATAGTGAACTGAACAGAAAGAAGAGAATTCCCATACTACCTCCATTGTTACATACATGGAGCCTCCCCCAAGAATCTGCCCAGGATGGTAACATTCATTATAACTAATGAACTAACACTGACACATCATTATTACCCTGGTCCATAGTTTATATATGGTTCAGTTTTCTTGTGTATTGTATAGGTTCTGACAAATATGTAAGGCATAGTCCACCATTGTCATATCATACATTATAAATTCACTGCTCTTAAAATTCCCTGTGCATTTCCTATTCATCTTTACCTTTACCCTGACAACAATGATCCTTTTACTGTCTCCAAAGTCATTTTTCACCATGTCAGAGAGTTAAAATCATACAACATGTCGACTTTTCAGATTGGCTCCTTTCACTTTAGAGTGGGTTTTGGAAAAAAAAAAAAACACTTACTTTGACTTCAGTGTAGAAAATAGAGGATTGTTGATGGTGGGTGTCACAATTTATGCCAGACAATCACCTGAGAGGCTCCTGTGGTGGATGCAGGTTATGGTAGTGAATGTCAAGAAGTTTTCTTTATAAGTAAATTGGAAAAAAAAATGTGATGACAAATAGGATGTGGGCCATTCTTATTTTGTGGCTTGAGCAGCTGGCTGGATGGTGGCACCAATTGCTAAACCAGAAAAGGTTAGTAAGGACTAGGCTTAGGAGGAAAGATCATGTATTATCTTGGAAATTTCCCACTAAAGAGGTCCTTTTAAGACAACAGACAGTTAGATATAGGGATGGAGGACTGGTTTAATGTGCAGATCTCATTTAGACGTCATTCATGTATAGATGTTAAGGGAAGCTATTGACTGGAATGAGATCATTTAGGGAAAAAGTAATGAAAAGAAAAACTAAATGTCTTAAGGAACTCTACCATCTAATGGCCTTATGAAAAAGAAACAATTGTTGAAGTAGATTAACAAGACACAGCCAGAGAAATGAGGGAAAGAAAAATCTGGGACACCCCACTTTCAAGTCCCAAACTTTGCATGAAGATCGTTAATTAACTAAGCTGAATTGAAAATGAGGTTTCTCTGAAATCCTGGAAGACTAAATGAACTTCCAGAATGGTTAGCATAAAACCAGTGTACTACTTCACACTGCCCTCACCCAAAACATACAGATCAATCTTACTCCTCCCAGTTGTAAGCATCCAGTTCAAAGTACCAGATCGTTAGTATTTCCATCCGTGAAGCTTTTAAGTCCTACAGTGCTGAGGATAGCACATGTTGAATAACTGATTTCTGTAACATTTGTTTTTATCTTATTTGCTGATGTAAAGATGATCATTTTCTCTTTGCTGCTGTCTAAAGAGCTACCTACTGCTGAATGCACACTGTGCAGACTATGTAGAACCACAATCTCCCATTGCTACTATTTGGGCTGTCAAAATGCTCCCAGCAGCTTTCTTATTTGTTACAATATTATGTACCTTTAAAGTGCAATTATTGAGAATAGAGAGAAAAATTTTACTGCCAGATATTTGTTTTGGTGGTTAACTATAGTTGGTTGCCAGTCATGAAAAAGAATATTTTCACCACAACAAACAAGATATAGGCTTGGTAGGCTAGATCCTCTACTTTGGACTTAGCAGGCTCTTAATAAAGAATAAAGAATAACTATTTTACCTGGCTAACTAGAATTTTAATTGTTAAAAGAAACATTTATTCAAGTGTTCATTAGTATCATAAATCTTTGTTCCTAAATTTCTAGAATGCCAAGGTAGAAATCTGTTCAAATCATTGAAAAAAAAAATCAATCGTTCAGATATTTTGTCACTTAACCAGTATGACTATAACTTTAAACCGAATGTCAAAATTTCTATTTGTCACGTTTTCACCTTGTAATTTTAATTTTCTCATGTTTCCATATTTAGCATTAGGGCTTTTAGAAGTAGATGGGGGAAATGTTGATTTTTTTTTCTTTTGTGGCAGGTAATATTTTAAAACCAGAATTAATACACCACACAATTCCTTAGAATTTTGGCTACTCAATTCTTAAAAATCTGTGTGAAACAACATTATTTTCAGAAATCTGCATCATTTCTAAATGAGGCACATTATTATAGTAGATAAAATACTGTATTGTTCTATCAGTTAAAAAGATACCATAAAAAAAAAGATACCATAAAGGAAGAGAGGCAATTTTCTGTGCTCAACCCACAAATAAAGTCTGCATGCAACATGAACTTTAACAACTGGGTCATTTAAAAGGAAAGCATCAAAATGTGTCTTAGCAATATCTGAGGGACAGAAGCTAACCAAATGTCTTCTAAGGGGAGCAAACAAAAGTCCCATGCATGATTTCTTCTATGTAGAGTCTCTGAAGCATCTGTGATAAAATAGCCATTAAATTCCTAAGAATGTAATATGTCTTAAAAGGTCAGTGTCTCACCACAAGTCAGTATACTCATGTCATGAAAATAGGTCTGGTAAGTGCCTTTCATTTTGTTTCTGGAGTATGGTGATTTTTGTACAGATTTTAATGGATTTACAATATTTCAAGTCTTCATTGGGCTAAACTACCTACAGTTTTCAATTATGCTTTTAAGAATTTTAATTTTAGAAAAATTAGTTTAAATCAAGCACCCTCATTTGATACAAGGAATCACTTTGTGGTAGGAGGAGGAGGCTGCTTTTTCATTTCCTTTGACATTGGGGAAGTCTAGGGAACTATCAGAGGGAGTCCACATCTTCATCAATATTCACATCAGTACTCAGGAAATATTCTATAGTTTTACAGCTGTTTAAATCCAGTAGGCACTTAATGCTATGTGGAATTGTAATTCCACACAGGGACCTTTCACTTTATGGAAATGTATCCAATCTTGAAGGAACCACTTCTAAAAGAGTAAACAAAATAGCTAAGTTGGAAAACAGAAAGTGATGCTTTGGTCAGAACAGCCTTCAAATGGACATATTGTATATGAACACTGGCCTAGGTTTTCCATGCAGTATTTTAAATATCTCCAAGTTGCCAGGATAATTAGTAGAATTATTAAACAAGCTGAAACTTAAGCTACAAATGAAAGCCTAACTTTCTCCTGTAGATATCTTTGTAATGAAAAGTCCTTCCTGCAGCAAGGAAACCAGTGAACAAGAAACATGACTTTGATTCCTGCTAATTTTGTCTCATAAGTCCCAGACGAACAGATTTCAGACACAATTTTCTTAAGAACTCCTTGCACTACCACCAAAATTTCC